TTTATTCCACTGTTTAATAACCTGTTCAATACAAACATTAAATAACATTTCTGTGAACTGATATTTGTTTAGTGAGCTTATTAGAGGATGTTCCCTGAAAGATTGTAAAAAGTCAATGAACATGTCAGACTTATTATATTTGTTAATAATTACATACAACACATGGAATTTGTGTGTGTGTGTTCCAAGTGAATCTGCGGCCCCCCGGTGGCCAGTTCATACATTATGTGGCCCCCACCACCATCCAAGTTGCCCATCCCTGTGTTAGTGTGTGATCTATGGCAACACTGTAGTACAAAGTTATACATTCTGATGATGAGTGTAGTACAATCACCGTCAGCAGGATGAGCAATCAGATCAAATACTATGTGACTGTGATTTGCTACATTTGTGGCAATTTTCTTGATATGGGGGGGGTAACATTTTTCGAGAAAACATCAAGAGAAAAATAGATATTCTTTGCGATAAAAGTGTCAAATTCACAAGAAGAAGAAAATCTTCAAAGGATGACTTAATAAAGAACTATTGCAATTGACTTTTTTTTGACCACTTTAATCTCAGAGAATACACCTTTTTTTATATTTGTTTGTTTTTTCTTGCAAATTCACATAACGAAATCACAACAGTTTTTTTCTGAATATTACCTATCTTGCTGCATAATTGTTTAACCTACAATGACCTTAATATGCCGTCGATCTATTGAACCTGCTGCCTTGACATTGCAAAAGCACACCAGTTGTTTGAAACAGCTCTGACGGGTCATGTTTTTAAAGTTTTAGGTAGAAAGTCTGTAGACTGCACTCACATCCACTAACCAAATGTTGATGACGAGTGTAGATATTTGACTCCATCCAGTAACAGAGCTTCTGCACAGTTATACAAAGTGTTGTCGGAGCGTACTGAAAGGTTCACACAGAGCAGTTTGTTCCTTGACTCCCCTCCCGCTCAGACCTGAAACGCTTCTCTGAGGCCCGCAGAACCAGCAAACTGTCCACCTTTGTTAACTTCCCCATGAAGGATCTCGACCTGCGGGAGTTTGCCTCGGAAAACTGCCGTAAGTACCCATCTACCATTCTAGATATCTGATCTATGTTTAGCATCCCAGCCGATATTCAATCTAAAATAATATCTAATAGTAATGGGGTGAGAAACTGTGCCCTTTCAAGTGTGTCCTTATGAAAGAAGTGCTGGCTTTAAGTGTGTTTTTGTCCCGTTTCAGTCAATGCAGTGTACAACCTGTACGCAGTTTCCAACCACTCAGGCACCACTATGGGCGGCCACTACACAGCCTACTGTCGCAACCCAAACTCAGGAGAATGGTACACGTTTAATGACTCCAGGTAGGTTCTACTAATGTGCTCTCATCAGGATAAAAACATGCACCAAGTATGTGCAGAGAAACACCTTAGGGCATTAATGACCATTTAAAGGTGACTTAAAATATGGAAATGTACACAAACTGGCATTATGTTTTTGAAGCATTAAAGCATGCTACATTTTTACTAATATATAGTTTATTATGGTCATTTTTCATGACTCAACAAACCCATAATGTAAACAAATAAACGAAACCTGCTCAAATGTATTCTTACTCATAAATAACAACTAAAGGGTGATTCTGTTTTTTTATATTGTCAACTGAACTCTCTAAGTTACTGTTTAATAATAATAATCATCTAGCTTTAAATGCTTGAATAACATATATAAAATGAGCTTCTTAAAACTTTAAATCTTGAAGAAAAACCAATGGAGGAGTCGGTAGTGCAACGTCAGTCACTGCTGGTGAGCTGTCACCAAACTGTCCGGCTGTCAGCGCTAACCAAATATAGATGAAGATTCTCTTCCTGCCTAAGGTACACATTTGTAATTGATTCCAATGAAAACAGAGCACATAACATCTCATGCGACCAAAGAGCGCAGCGCCCAGCCTCTTTGATTCTGAGCGTTTTGGCTTTGTGTGACTGCTCCGAGTGATTCAAGTTGAAAATATTCAACTTTTTAGAAAAGCAGTTTTAGTCCGTGTCTCTTGGACGGAAACTACCATAACAAAGACCAAAAAGCCCATTTGTTGGATCAGATTTGTTTGGAAGACTCTCTTGTTCTACAGCTATCAGCTTGAGCTGTACAACTAGAAGGTTGTGCTCTGCCTCGTGACCAAATCTTCATTTTGACTAAACGGTTTTCAACATGGCGGCCGGATCACAAAATGCATCTTTATGTTCCCTGACATGGATACAATACAGTTACTGTTTACATCAGGGGTCGGCAACCCCTGGCACGCGTGCAAGCATTGGCACGCGGCACCGTAACCAGTGGCACACTAGGAATAAGTGGAATAAGTGTGCATAAATATTTTAATTGTATTTTCGGATCCTGAACGAGACCGCCGCCAGAGCGCGTCTCCCCGTTACCTGCAGAAGGAAGGCATGCACGCAACGCAGCCCCGCTCTCTTTATCTCCAGGTGACATTCTGCCGCTTTCCTCCTTGGTGCAGTGCTGATCGTTTCACCACGGAGGAAAGCACTTCACTAATTGCAGTACCCATAAGGAGCTGTACAAATGCCGCAGTTTTTGCGTGGCTGTGTCTTTAGTTGAAAGCCCAGTGGCGATCTGCTCATCTCTCATCTAAATAATATGCTACAAAGGGGCGGACTGGCCATCTGTGTGTTGAACTTTCCTGTCGGCTCCCAGACCGTAGTCGAGGAGGGCAGAAGCAACAAGCTTCAGGTTCAATAACCCACTTTAGAGAGATGCGAGC